AGTGAGCAATTAAAATGTGGAATTCACAGTAAGTATTCCAGGCAAAAAAAAAAGATATTTTCAAAAGAAACTAGGTGAGTCCATGAGAGAAATGCGATTAGAAAAATAACCTGGAAGACGAAGTTGAGGTGAATGTAATGAGGGAAAACATACAAACAGCATAGGTATTGGATGGAATGGCCCATTTGTTCATTTTGGTATTCTATATATTTCAATTTAATTTCCTTTTACAGGGTACTCGGAGGGTTGTATTTACAGACCAGGTGCTTAATTTGATTATCACATCAAGATCTTACAGTGTCACTCTATTCATCTGAATATCATTGGCCTCTGAATATGGAAGGAGAAATGCTCAGCTGTGAGAAAAGATTTTAAGATCAGTATGACTGCAAAAGTACTTAGACACACATACCCAAGTGAGTGTGTTCTAGTGAACTGATAATAGAAAGAACTTTAACCAGTTACATGCATGAGTCAGAGAGTTTCAGTGAACCAACTATAGAAAGAGGATTGATCAGTTACTTAGCCTGAAAGATCAGTACACCATCCACAATGGGGAAAGACCGTCCATGTGTTCTGTCCGTACACTTCAGTTTCAGTCAATCCTTGAACCCGGAAAGATTCAACGACACTGACACAATGGCGAAGTCATGGAAATGTGGGGACTGCGGGAAGGAAATTAACCGTCCGAGTTGGAAACTCATCAGCGCAGCCACACTGGGGATAGGCCATTCAGCTGCTCCACGTGTGGGATTGGATTCACTCAGTTATCCAGCTTCTACACACACCAGCGAGTTCACACTGGGGAGAGACAGTTCACTGCTCCATGTGTGGGCAGAGATTTAATGCTTTATCAGCCCTCCGGGCTCACGAGCAGATTCACTCTGATGAGAGACCATTTAAATGTTCTGACTGTAAGAAGACTTTTAAAAGCAGAAAGGATACATTGATACATCAATGCTGTCACACTGGGAGAGACCATTCACCTGAAAAATATGTGGGAAAGGGTTCATTCTGTCATCCCACCTCCTGACCCACAAACTTGTTCATACTGATGAGAAATCTTTTAAATGTTCAGACTGTTTGAAGAGTTTTAAGAGTAAAAAGGATTTACTGAACCACCAACGCGCTCTGGGGATAGGCCATTCAGCTGCTCCGTATGTGGGAAGGGATTCACTGAGGCATCCAGCTTCTACACACACCAGCACGTTCACACTGGGTAGAGGCTGTTCACCTGGTCCGTGAATGGGAAGGGATTCATTAGTTCATCCTAGCTTCTGACACACCAACTCATTCACACTGGTGAGAGATCTTTTGAATGTTCTGACTGTGACAGGAGGTTCAAAAGTAATGAGAATCTGCTGAAACATCAGCAAATTCACATGGGGGGGGAACCGTATGTCTGCTCCGTGCGTGGAAAAGGATTTGCTCAGTCACACAACTCCTGAGACACCAGGAAGTTCACTTGCGAGAGCAGCAATTGGATTCTGCTGTTATTGCTGCTCTTAACTACATCCAGGACTGAACCTTGTCTGGCTGCCCATTTCCAGTGGTTCCACAGTTTTGTGGTGTATGTGTCAAGGATTTAGACTTCAATGTAGGGACCATGATGGAGAAGTTTGTAGATATCACAGAAGTTGATGGTATGGTGAACAATGAGGAAGAAATCTGCAGACTGCATGATGTCAATGGACTACTCAATGGGCAGATCTGTGGCCAATGGAATTCATTCTGGAGATAAGGAATCTGGGATGGCAGGGGACAACAGAGCAAGAAAATGCACAATAATTAGTAGGGTGCTGAGAAGTGTAGAGTGACGTCCTCAGATCCCCGAAGGTGGTGATATAGGTAGATAAGGAGGTCAATGAGGTGACCCTAGAATATCAGAGCTAGAAGATTATGCTGGAACTTTAGAAAGCACTAGTTAGATCACAGCTAGAAAACCAAAGGCAGTTCTGGTCATCACACTAATCAACTAGAAAGTGAGACTGGATTAATTGACTTCAGTTTTATTATAATTTGATATTTGTATGATTACATTCAGTGTTCAATTCATCAAACGTAGCTGAATGTGATAAAGCTAACCTACAAAAGGATTGCAACAGTGAAGGTATCTTAATTTTATTCAACAAATTAAAATGTGTAGTGTTTCCATGATAATAATTAAGAAAAACATTTTGGTTAAGTTACTATAAAATAAGGTGACTTCTGTATAATGGAAGAAGTTGATTGGTGAGTAGCTGATGGATCTTTATTTTAATCTGAAGGTAATTCTGGTTTAGCTAATAAATAACCACATGGTAGGGAATCCCAGTCCCAGAAAGTGCACATCCAGTTCCAAGACACTTCCTGTGTCTGGGTCAACCACAAGAACGGGGAGGTGACTCAAATGTCGAGAACACTAGTTTGACCAAAGCTAAAGTATTGCACTCAGCTCTGGTTCCCACATTCCAGGATAGATTTGATCACACCAGAGAGGGCACAGAGGAGATTGGATAGGCTGGAACAGATGAGACCGAGGTGAGAGTTCATTGAAGTGATAAAATTATGAAGAGTTAAGCTAAAATAGATAGGAAGGAGCACAGAGAGATTAGTACCTGCAGGTTTCAGATTTAAAGTAATTCACAGAAAGAGTGGGAGGGGAAGAAATCATTTCACCCAGAGATGGAGGAGAGCTGGAACTCCGTCTGATACAGTCATATAGCATGGAAACAGACCTGTAGAACCAACTAGTTCACGCTGACCCAAACTAAGCTAGTCCCACCTGCCTATGTTTGGCCCATATCCCTCCAAACCTTTCCTATTCATGTACTTATCCAAATATCTTCTAAATGTTGTATCTGTATCTGCATCCACCACTTCCTCTGGCAGTTGATTCCACACACAAATGACTCTCTGTGTAAAAGAAGTTGCCCCTCATGTCCTTTTTTAAATCTTTCTCCTCCCACCTTAAAAATATGCTCCCTAGTTTTGAACTCGCCCACCTTAGGAAAAAGACCTTTGCTATTCACTTTATCTATTGCCGCTCATGATTTTATAAACGTCCATAAGGTCACCCGTCAACCACCTAAGCTCCAGTGAAAAAAAAACCCAGCCTATCCAGCCATCCCTTATAACTCAAGCCCCCTAGTCCCAGCAACATCCTGGTAAATCTTTTCTGAACCTGCATCAGTTTAATAATATTCTTCCTGTAATAGGGTGACCAGACCAGCACACAGTTCTCCAAAAAAGGCCTCACCAATGTCTCATACAATCTCAACCTGATGTCTCAACCCCTATACTCAAAGGTCTGAGCAATGAAGGCAAGCATACCAAACGAGAGGTAGAGGCAGAAATCCTCATCCCATTAAAATAGAAGGACATGGATACATTTGAAATGCTGGAACATACAGGGCTGTGGACTGAGATTGCAGAATGGGGTCAGCCTAATAGTTTTATTGCAGCCAGCACAAACACAATGGGCCAAATGGCCTTGATCATTCCAATTCTGACCACTGGAGTTTGTTTCTGATGACGTTAATAACTTCTCAAATTGGACTGTCATTTAATCAAAGAATCCCTACAAAGTGGAAACAGTGTGGAATAAACAAGAAGCTTACAAAATTTTCACTGAAAGCAAAATGCTGGAGAAACTCTGCAGCACTGGCTACATTCATGGAGAGAGAAACAGTTAATGTTCTGAGTCCACTGACTCTCCTTTGAACGTATTCCACAGATGCTGCCAGACCTGCTGAATTTCTCTAACACCTTAATATTGTTATTTCAAATCTTCAGCATCCACAGACATTTGTATTTACGAAATGATTATAGAGTGAATTGTTTGTCTCTGATACCGTGTTCAGATATGAGCCTTGAGCATGGGTTATCGAGCCCATACACATGGAGTACCATTACCGGATACTCTTCATCTCTGATTTTAATTATCGCACCATTGGTGGATGCCTTCAGCTGCCTGGACACAAAACTCTGGAACTTCCTCTCGAAACAACTTCACCTTTTCACTTTATTTCCTTTCTTTAAACCACTTGCAATCAACTGCTTTGCCCAAGATTTTGGTCATGTGATTTAACATGGCTTCAAGTTCCCATGAAACACCTTGAGGCGTTTTGTTACATTAAAGCTCTAATCTTCAAGTTGTTGCTGTAGCTCAGTGAGACCTGAACACTCACAGAGAGAAAAAGGCTGTGATTCTCACTCTGAGAGACAGCTTGTTAGAACAGAACCGGCAGAAAATGAGCTCTGAAACCACTGTATTATTTTTGTTATATGGATCAGGCAATATCCTCTGTCTGTATTATTACACAGCTGAAAGCTCTGAATCCATTGCATTATCCGCGAAATCTGGATTAGGTAATGACAGTCTGTCTGCGTTATTACAGAGCTGTTGTTAAAGTTAGTTAACAACATGTTTGGAGTTACATTATCCAGTGACTGAAACCACAAGATTGAACATTTGGAACGAGTTGAACAAGGATGCTAAACTGACTCAACACAATGTATTTCACACAAAGTTAATTTATTTGACTTTGGACCAAAATATCAAACCTGTATCACCAGGGTTAATTAATATGAGCTGGAACAGACTCAGTGAACATGGTTCAGTACTGGATGTGATTGACAGCAAAATCTCTTCACTGTAGTTACTTATGAACACATTGGTGTCTCAGCAGATGGGATGAGTGAGTAAATCCCTTCTTACACACAGATCAGGTGAATGGCCTCTCCCTGGTGTGAACTCGCTGATGTTTTTTGAGGTCAGATGATCGCCTGAACCTGGTCCTGCAGTGAAAGCACTTGAAAGGTTTCTCTTCGGTGTGAACATGTTGGTGGGACATCAGTTCCCTGGAACTTTTAAAGCATTTCCCACAGTCTGGACATTTAAAAGGCCTCTCCTCAGTGTGAACTCGCTGGTGTCTCTGCAAGCCAGAAGAATGAGCAAATCTCTTCTTACAAATGGTGCAATTAAATGGCATCTCCCGTGTGAACCCGTCGATGTTTCTGCACATATGAGAAAGTACTGAAGCCCTTCCTACGCTCAGGACAAGGGAACGGTCTCTCACCAGTGTGAGTTCGCTGATGGACCTGCAGGCTGGATGATTGAATGAACCCTTTCCCACATTCAGTGCAGGTGAACAGTTTCTCTCCAGTGTGAATGCGCTGATGAATCACTCAGGGCAGGGGAATGGTCTGTCTCCAGTTGCACTCGCTGGTGTGTCTGCAGATCGGTTAACCGACTGAATCCTTTCTCACAATCAGAGCAGCTGACCGGCCTCTCCCCAGTGTGAATACGCTGGTGTATACTGAGCTGAAATGATCGTCTGAAGCAAATTCCGCAATGAGAGCACCTGAATGGTCTCTCCTCAGTGTGAGCATGTCGATGACGTATCAGTTCCCCAGAACTTTTATAGCACTTTCCACAGTCTGGGCATTTAAAATGTCTTTTATCTGTGTGAACTCGCTGGTGTGCCTGCAGGTGAGAAGACTGAGTGAATCTCTTCCCACATTTGGAGCAGGTGAATGGTCTCTCCCCAGTGTGAGTGCGTCGATGAATTTCCAGCTCAGATGGGAATCTGAAGCCTCTTCACAGTCCTCACATTTCCATGGTTTCTCCCCAGTGTGACTGTGCTTGTGTCCTGACAGTCTAGACGATTGACTGAAACCTCGTCCACACATAGAACATGTGTACAGTTTCTTCTCACTGTGAATGGTGTTTTCTCCTTTCATGTTCAGAATCCAACATTATTCCAGCTATGATCTTTCAGATCCTAAAGTGACACTTGGTTCAATTTCCTGACTGCAAACTCTCCCCTTCGGGTACTCTGTGAAGCTAATTTAAAAGAGAAAAAAAGAGTGAGAGAACAACAGAATGTAAATGAATCACCATCACAGAGGCACAGTTGTAGGATGAGAACAATTAGTTCCTGAATATTGGGGCATATATGATATTCAAGAAGAGGAAGCTAGGTATAGGTGGAGAGGTAGCACTGTTAATTAAGCGTGGCATTTGTACAATGGTTAGACAGTACCTTGATTCAGGATGTATAATCTGTTTGAGTAGAGATAAGGAATAGCAATGGAAATAAGTCACTAGTAGCTGTAGTTTACAAGCCCACTAATAGTAACCACAATGTGGGACAAAACATACAAGAACAAATATTGTGTATGAGAGATAAAGCGATGGCAATAATCATGGATGACCTTAATATCCCCCTCTCTCACTCCCTGCTGCATTGTAAATAATGTTTAGAGAACCATAAACAACACATCAAATATGTCCCTTGGAACAACACTGGACATATCTTGGTCTTTAGATTAATTTACAGGCTGTTTAATTTCAGCCTTTTCCTGAAAAACCATCTCTTTCACTGTGAGCATCAGGAAAGGAGGCCAACCTTTTTGTCAGAAAAATGTGTTAAGCTGAGGGAGTAAATAATTACAAGACCTTTTAAGACTGAGAAACCTGAATAGAAAGATAGGAAAAGCAAGAATCCAGTCAGTCAAGGTGCAGAGATAGTAGGAACTGCAGATGCTGGAGAATCCGAGACAACAAGGT